TTTTTGGAAAATAGTCTGAACATTCTTTGCAAATCATCAACCTGCAAGTGAAGGGTAGAAAGGGAAGAAACAAATGTTCACAACCAGTAAGAAATCTAAACACTAGAAGTTTCATAGTGATTGTTGATTCCTATAAACTCAAATGTGAGATGATAGCAATACTTGACCTCTGAAAACAAATAAACATAGCAATACTTGTCTCTACAGTTTCACGAATCATGATCCCACTCACTCCAGTGAAACCAGCCATTTTGCATCGTGCAACTGCGAAAAGTGAAAAATTTTAACACAAAAAAATTATAGTGATGAAATATATAAGAAAAGTATATACAAATAGATACAGGGTGCAGTGAGTTTTAACCTAGAATAAGTGCCCCATGTAGATCTACACCAACAAGGCATTGAGCCATTTGACCTTTCCTGATAATAATTCCAACAAAATTTCAATAGAAAAAAAATTGTTTGACCATTTTGAGAGTTAACAATCTATTCAATTATTTCTCCTCTTGTGAAAAGAATTATACATTCGAATACTTTTTTGAACATCATACATTTGATATATAAGTAACTTGAAAGGAAAGGCACAAAATGAAGCAAAACAAAGAATGTGAATTACCAGGTGGGTATAGATAGGGGTCGACAGTGTTATAGTTATACAAAAAGGAAAAGGGACTTTGTGCATTCCGAGGAATAAAGGGAATGGGGTTGCTACTACTCCACTCCATTTGATCGACCCTCTTCTTGGTTAACAGTATCTACCTTTCACAAGCTAGCTGAGTTTAACCTATTTGTACCTGGGATATAATAGGGTAGAAAAATATGGGATTCGGGGGGTCACAATCTGGTCCCCAATATGTGACTTCTAAAGGTTTCAGCTTCTGGATGTAGAGCTTCTTTAAGCCATCGATGATTGATGTAACAGCAGTTAAAGGAACCTGATAATGCATAAATAATATGAGATGAAAACATAATATTTAAAACATGGTTGATAAGTTTACAAGATGTATGTACTATGTATATGTATACTCACATATTAGTCAAGTTTGTAAGTTTTCCAAGTCCAACAGGCAGTGGGCCAGATAATTCATTTGAAGCCAGAATGCTAGGAAATGGAAATACAAAATTTTATATGAATATAGATCAAAGTTTATAATTTCAATATATTATTTTTCCTTCTTAGGGTTTTAAGAAGAAGTGTACAAGGGTAAAAAGGTGAAAAGAAAAGTTATTAGTTATTACAGTTTCTGCACATTTTTCATGTTGACAATCTCTTGGGGTATGGATCCTGAAAGCGATTTCCTTCCATGCTCCTAAAAAATGTTGAAGAAACAATCAAAGTGATGTTTTCTTTCTATTTATTGTATTGTAACAAGATAAGAACGGGTGATGTTGTCTACAGATTTACAAGGGTAGTTATTCTGCTGAGAACTCTTGGAAATGGGCCGGATAATTTGTTTACCATGAGAGAGCTGCATATAATCATGGTTTATTATTATAAGATTAAGATGTTTTATTAAAGTAAAATAATTATTTTTCACATGTAAAAAAATTGGGTGGTTCAGAAATCATACAGGTCAACCAAACGCATAGTAGCCCATTGGGGGAGGTAAAGTTCCATTGAGGTAGTTACGACTGAGATCCCTGGATTAATAAATCACAATTATAATTATTTTATTATTATCATTTCATAAACATAAAAGTCTTAACTTTTATTGATTAATAATGTCTCAAATCAGGTCTTGAAATTCCAATGACTTACCATAGACGACCGGGACAAGTTTTGATTGAATCAAGGTGTTACCCCATTCGATTAGCCCTCCATTAACTAGCAACCACCATGTTGTTAAAACATGTCTTAGTTCGCCTTGTCTTATCAATTCTGGAAGAGGACTTATGATTTATTAAAATCCTCACAACATCCATTACCATTGCCTCTCCAATCTAGCTTAATTCCCACCATGTAACCCTGCAAAATCCTTTTTTTCTTAAAAATCTTCACTGCTAAAAAACAATAGTTATAAGAGATGTTGAACCTTTGTTAAACTATCGTTTTGTCATAAGTGGAAAAGATTGAGTGCCAGTCACATACGATCATATTGGTGTCTATGGTCAAGAGTCATGTATACATCGAATTTTGCTCTTCAAACTACACAACTAATTAAAGATGTGGATCTATTTCGTTCATTTGTACCATCAAAATTGAGATTTTTCCCTTTTTTCTAGTTGCACTACACAAAAAATAATAGGTGCATCATGTTCAATTAGATAAAAATTGTTTAGAAAATCAAATTTGTATTTAAAAATCACAAGAAGATAGGGATGAATCAATACGTGAAATCCAACTTCCAACAGGCTGAAACCTTGGACCCAATCCTTGCAAAAGCTGATCAGATTCTTCCATGAGCTGTTTCTCACCAGGTAGCTGAAATCGAACCCTGGTTCTTGAACCCACTCCTTGAATCAAAGGTGGCTCTGGCTCAGTTGTTGTTCTTGTTTAAACACCATTATCTTCAGATTTTGTAGATGAACTCATTGGTTCATCAACAGATGCATCATTTGGTTTTACAAAGAAGTAAGGACACTTGCAGTCTGTTCCTCTGTATAGTATGATAATGCTTCCAGATCTTTAGACAACTAAACCCCCGGTCTTTCTCTAGCAAAAAAAGCCCCAATGTTGATCATTATGGAAAAAAATAAAGATTCAAAGTCAAGAAAAACTAAAGCATTTGAGTTGATTTTGAATTTTGGACTAGTTGTTTGGAAGGAGGGAGTATTCATTTGTGTTTGTGAACAATAATTTTATACTACAGGAGAATAGACATTGTTTATCTAACATCAAGAAAAAAAGCCCCAAGAAGAAGAAGAATATGACCTGTGAGGTTCAAGAAAACCCCATCTGTTTACCTTCAATCACCGAAGACCACCACAACTTCCTTCTTCTTCTTCCTTTGATCTATCCAAACCCCAAAGGTCCTCCCCTTCGTTCTCAACAACCACTGGAGATGGAGTAGCATCTGACAAGACCAAGAGGCTCCCACTATTTTCATCGATCAGACCTCCACCCAAACCTTTCCCCCCTCCGTTTATTTCATCAAAATCAGACAAGAACCTGACTCGTTTACCCCAATTTTTACCGATGATGGAATCTAAGATGCCAAGGAAGGCTCACTGGGAACCGGAAATTTCCTCCTCCTCCTCATGAATAGATCGATCATCCCGATCTACCAGGCGCTACCTGCCCTGCTCCATCGGACTAATTGAGTCCCCTCCCTACGTGTAATCTGTTGGCGACAAGTAATAACAACCAAGGAGACCGCCGGAGCGCCCCCCTAGCTGCGGCAAACAAGAGAAGCGTTGTTGCTTCTCCCTTCCCCTTTCGTCAAATCGATCCCGCACCAGAGGTGCTTTCCCTTTCTCGATTGATTGCCATCATCGAGCCACCATGGTTGCTTGCATTCCTATCTTCCTTGCTCGATAGATGAACCACGACCACCGGACCAAAACTCCCGCTACCTTCGTCATTCTAATTCCCTTTTTTCGATTTATCTGTGGGGAATAAGAAACAAACGAGAATCAAGATTTGCATTCTTAATATTGAGAGTTGAGAGTATAATACTGAATTTGGGCTTTTTCTGACAATTTCAACATCGAGTGGGAGATATGGTGGTTCCTGTGGGTAGAAGTAAATGAGCCTTGACGGGGAAGAATCGGTGGTGGCGATCGGAGTGCAAGGGAAAGAAGCAAGCAACACTCGATGTAGGGAGGCGGAGGAAGACCGGAGAATATTTTTGTGGTCAAAGAACACACCCAGAGCTAAAGAGGGGAAACAAGGAAGGAAGGTGGGTTTTCTAATTTTTTTATTTCCTTTTTCCCGCTGCTCGTTGTTGAAGAGCGCGTTTCTAAAATTATAAAGCGACATTTCTAGTCGACACGCCTTTAACATAAGCACCTTCGTTTTTTTTTTTTGGTGAGACACTAATTCTAGGGCACGCAAAAATGCGCGTCCAAAATTCTTTAAATTTCTAAAGATCTAACATTATTTTTAGGGCACACCCTTTTGCATATCACTAATCAGTGCGTGTCGTAAAAATCACGTCATTAAAGGTCTGTTTTCTAGTAGTGAGAGACAAAGGCGATGGGTAGAGCTACTCTGTGATTACGAGTGCGAAATACGCTACCATCCTGGCAAGGCCAATGCAGGTTCACCTCGAGATTTTGGTAGTCACTATAGAAAGCTCTTGTCCTTAGACAGATGGGAAGAGCGAGAGGACCATCCAGATCTTGGAAGACATGTTGATAGCATGTGTAATCGACTTCGGTAAGTCGTGGGACATCCATTTACCTTTGGTTGAGTTCTACAACAACAATTACCATACCAACATTAAGGTTGCATTGTTTGAAGCTCTCTATGGCCATAAGTGCAGATCCCCTCTATCATGGGCTAAGGTGGGCGACACGTAGTTAGCCAAAGGGCAAGTCTCCGAAAGCACTCTCATAGGCCCAGAGATCATCCGTGAAACCATCGAAAAGATCGTACAAATCCGGGAACGACTGAAAGCCTCACGAGATAGACAAAAGAGCTACGCCGATAAATGATGAAAACCCTTGGAATTCCAGGTTGGAGACTGTGTTTTGCTGAAGCTCTCACCCTGGAAAGTCATGATATGCTTTGGAAAGCATGGAAAGCTAAATCCGAGGTACATAGGACCATTCGAGATCCTTGCTAGGATAGGTCACGTAGCATACAAACTTCATTTACCTCAAGAGTTTAGTAACATCCATCCCGTCTTGCATGTCTCGAATATTAAGAAGTGTTTATCCAACGAGACTCTTATGATCCCTCTCGATAAGATTGAAATCAATGAGAATCTCAACTTTGTGGAAGAACCAGTCGAAATCATGGATCGGGAGGTCAAACAAACAAAGCAAAGTCGCATCCCGATAGTGAAGGCTCGCTGGAATGCCAAGCGGGGACCTGAATTCACTTGGGAGCGTGAAGATTCAATGAAATAGAAGTACCCCATCTTTTTCCAAATCCATGATTTGTATCTTTATTCTTGAATTTCTAGACGAAATTCCCTCTAAAGAGGGGATGATATGACAACCCAAAACTTCTATCTTGTACGATTGGTCAATTATAGCAATAGTAAACTCGATTTTGTCACCTTTTAACACCGTTTAATGGTTTGTTAAAGTATTCTAAGCCTAGTGCAATCAAATTTTGGGTCATAGGTCAAGTAATACCAAGTCATAGTACAACATTCGGGCCATACACCCCCTTGAGAGGAGTGTACGACCGTACACATGGGTGTACGGCCACACACCCTCCCCACAACCGTACACCCGGGGTGATGGGTCACCCACCCCTATAAATATGAGGAGACCCCCTTTCTTTCACTCTTTTCTTCATTTGGCTGCACACTACTACTTTCTCTCTCTCTATAATCTTCACCCAAGAACCCTCCAAAGGCTTCAAAAACGTAAGTGATTCATCCCCTAGCTCGTTATTCTTGAAAAATCCTTTGATTCTTCATGTTTTTAGCCTTGTTCTTCATCCTTTGAAGGTGTATGGCCGCACACCTTCATAAGGTCGGCCATACACACCTTAAAGGATCTACAAAGTGAGAGTTTGGCCCTATCTTCTAGATGGAATTGGTATTAGCCTTGATACGCCTCAAAATCGACATCTTGGGCATGAACACGGAGAGTGTACGGCTGCACACCTACCCTTATGGTCGTACACCCATTTTGATGATCATATTTGGCCTCAAACTTGCAATATCACTCAGTATGGGACCTAGAACCACTCCTTGGATGCTAATAGGACCTCAGAAACACCTCAAAGACACTCCCCATCATGAGTGTACGTCCGTACACTCATGGGCCGTACACCCATGGTCGTACACACCTTTAGGGTGTCCGTACACCTCCCTCATCCGATCATATATAGTTCCGACACTTAGTTTAAGCATTTCCAGGTCCTTAGAGTAGTTTTCTATGGCGTTTAGTCATGAAATAACTTAATCTAATACATATATGTGTTAATATATGTTAATAGGATCCATTTTCATTCAAACCATTAGTTGATACTCGACAGATCCTTACATTCGAATCCTACGTCAACAGTGAGTTCATATCCCTACAGTTTTTAATGTTTTTAAACATTTTAAGGGGGGGATACAAGCCAAACACAAGAATTTTTGTGAACTAAAAAACAGGAATATTTTCAACAAGTAAAACTCATGCAATTGACACAAGTTAATGGATTTTCATAAATCAGTTAGATACTTTATCCCTCTTGTAACATGCGGAGCATGGGGGTTACTTTCTAATCAAAATTGCATAGTTTTCAGAGCATATCATGAACATAACTTTTTAGTCAAACTATAATAGATATAGTTTGGGAACTACTTTACTGGTTTTTACGAATCCGAACTACTTACATGGTTAAACAAATAAACTATGACGGATTTAGTTTATGACACATTACTACGAGAGTACAACAGTAAATAATTATTTTAGTATAATTATTTTTACTCTACAAAATATGCATCGGATTTTCATACGAAAGGACAGTACACTTATATATTATTACTCATAAATTTGTCAACATATATGGGAGACACGTCCTTGGGCGCTTACAACATTAACTAAGTGGAGGACTACCCTTATGAATCAGAATTTCCTTGAGGGAAAGCATGGTTTTTGTGTATAGATCTATACGGGACTAACTATCCCGCACCTAGCTGCTAGCTACAGTCGGACCGGCAGGTCTACGTGTGACAAATGTCATAAAGGATATTGGCGTCCGTTTCACGTCGTATCAAGTTTAAGTATGGTCATAAAAGTCGCCAATCGTACGACTCTTTTATGTAATAATATACCTCTCATAAACAATTGCTTTAATAACATAAGTGTGACACTTATGCCTTACAGTTTTAGAACAATTAAAGCAACAAATACACGTATACCATGGAAAATAAGGGATTTTCCCAGTCTAAACCTCATACTTTACATACTGGTGGTAGCTAGGGTTTTCAATCGAAACATACGTACATACTAGTGATAACCAAGGTTTGATATGAATCATATTTACTTTCAATAGCAGAAAACATCTTATACAAATTCAATGACTAGTTTCCATTACAAAAACATACTTATGAACTCACCAGCTTTATGCTGATACGTTTTTAAAATCATTTGTATTCTCAAGACAACAATAGATAGGTACTCTTGCCAGCTTTTGGAGAAGATAGAGCATTTTTGGAGTCTCATCTTTATCTTTTTCTACTTTTGATATATATACAAACTTGTACCCAACAATCAATGTAAATATTCATATTATATTGTAATGGTTGTGTTTACTTTGATTACTATGATGCAATTGTTGTGATACTACATATGACGTCATCCACCCTCGGACGTTTTCGTTGTCTGTCTTACGCTTCGGGGGTGTGACACAACCAAGTGTGACGTATAAAAACTCAAAGCGATCGTCACCATCTGTTTTAATATGTGTCACCGTACCTAGATTATGTTTGTCCAAATTGTGGAAATAAGTCAAATGTTTGGTAAAAGAATCCTCTTTCGTACCCCCTTAACAACAACAACAATGCATATTGCTTCGTACGCCATGCCTGATTGTATGAGATATTGATATTCAATTGAGCATTCATATCATTAATAATATCTTTTCCCCGATAAACTCTACTATAATCTTCAGCCAAAACATCAACAAGGTATTCACCCAAAACATATTTGTTTGCTTGTCGATGATTAGGTTGCAAAATTATTGAAGAACATGTGTGTACATCAACAAATTTATTCACTTGGAAAAGTCCATCAGAATTTTTAATTGTTTTTGCTCTTAGTAACCAAGAACAATTTTTTGAAACACACATACAGCCTCATACCTTGATTTGGTGGATCTACTTGTCTTCGTCTGAAACCTTCTCGAAGACATTTTTTACCAATAGCCCTTTTAAAAGTTCTTTGTTCTTAAATATACTCTCACATTCAATCTTTTGAAGATTGATGTCTACCATCTGTGTTGGGATATCTTCATTAAGATCAACTGGGCATGCTGGTAGAGGGGGCATACCGTAAAAAGGTTATCGGGAAACTTAGTTTTAACTTCATCACCCAACTCATCTCCATCTGAATTGCTTTCTTAAGTCGGTTATATCTAAACCTACATCAACATAATCCCCGTAAACATGTTTTTTTTTCATCTTTTTGACGCATAATTTTTTTCTTTTTACTTTTATCTACTACATGCCTATTCATAACTTTAACTTCTTGTTCAGGAACATCAACACAATGACCACCCACGTCATTAAGATATGTACCAACATCATCATCACTAACATACTTGTAATTCTCAGGATCCACATAGTGAATAGGTGAATAACTAACACTAACATTTTCAGCAACACTGTGAAATTGAGGTACACTAGGAGTATTGAAATTACCTATCGGACCGTTGCTCCCTTTATAGCTGCATAAATTACCAACTGGATGATTTCTACTCTGACCAGCCTCATTAACCTCATCTCCTTCATCAACCACCTCAAACACTTTCACAACCCTTCCTCCACTACATTTGATTACATTTATCAACATTCTAACATTCATGTCTTCAATTATGGCTATATAATAATTCAATTTAGGATGATGGAAAAGAAAACTAATTCTATATTTGTCTAACAAACCAATTTTGCTTCTCACCAAAGATACAAAATCACTATAACTAATATACTCAAAAAATATCAAGGCGAATTAAGAAATACCTTCGTGTAGACATACGTATTCCAGATTTGTTTCAATAATTTGTCATCTCCCACCGGTTACAAGACAAACCAAATATTCAATCATTTTAGAGAGATTTTAAAGAACTTTCGTAAAGAAATAACAAGTAAAATGATAATTTTCTACAAAAGTTTA